AGGTTGATCAGTATATCCAATTTTGAGGTGCAAAAGTTCTTTCTGTCTTTATTTTTTGAAAAACTGCATAATTTATAGCATAGTATATAGCAGTGATGATGAACCTTTTCAGCACTGCATGCCCAAACCAGAACATGTGAGCATGTTGGAAACCCAAAGACCAGGTCTTTGGGTTTCCAACATGTGCACATGTTCTGGTTTGGGCATGCAGTGCTGAAAAGGTTCATCATCACTGCTATATACTATGCTATAAACTATGCAGTTTTTCAAAAAATAAAGACAGAAAGAACTTTTGCACCTCAAAATTGAATATACTGATCAACCTTAAAGATAATTTATTTTGTTTTAAAAGTATTCCATTCAACTATGTTAACATTCCAGTAGCATAGGACATCAATGTTATTCATTTGCACTGCATATAAGCGATTCGTTTTTGAAATGCCATTCTAGCATAACTTACCATAGCTGGAAACTAGCAGCCTGTGTAGAATCACAGAAGTCAATTCCTACTGGAACGGTAATAGATTTCCCAGGTTCAAGGGATTCTAATAAAAACAATGTTTGTGAACACTGAATAAGTTTCAGATAAATCATCCTATCAATATCTAATCCTTATCTATATTTATATATCTCTGTGTATTTGCTGAAGTAAGTTATCAGCAAGAAATATGAGCAAATACTCAAATAATGTCAATGTACAGAAGCTATCTTAATTTTACTTTTGCCTGCTTTAGCTTTGAGATTTAAAATGGTGTTTATTTATCAAAGAAAATTACAGTTTGAAAAAACCATCTGTCAACACCCTGAGAAGCTAAAGCAAGATACATTTATAATTTTGCAAGCCTGTATCTCTATGATATATATCAGAGACACTATTAGGACATCAGTAATGCTTTTATAACCACAAGAAATTAATTAATCTGCTCAATTTATAAATGAAATATAGAAATATGAAAGAAGGAAAAGTAGATTACAGAGAAATATGGGGAAATTGTCACATGGGTTTTAAAAACATTTTTAAACAACAGAAAAATAGTATTGAATAACTTATTTAAAAAGATCAAGAACTTGCAGAAGAAATAATGGGACTTTCTGCTTTTCATTGTTAAAAAATAAACCTTAAACCAACTGATTAACAAATTAAATTGAGAAATAAATTCTGTGATTTTATTTTCTCAATGTTTGCCTTTTCTGAAAAGTAATCATAGTGAATGGTTAGTCTGCATATCTACAGATAATTGGATAGCTGCACCTTTGGGTTTACAAACAATATTAATGTTAGTTTTTCTGAATTTATTGACAGATATAGTTCTGTGGATTTTTTTTTGTACATTTTCTTCACCAAGATCAGTATTTTTAGAGCTTCATATGATTAGATCTTGACATGTCAAAGAACATTCAAATATCTCAAAAGAAAAGGATTTCTTCTATTGCCATCTAGTAGAGCAGCAAGATTTAGGATTTTTTTTGCAAATCCTCAGTTCCCTCTGCAACACCCAAATCCAGATCCTAAACAGTGACTTTTCAAAGTAGTTTCAAAACAACAGGAGGCAGGAGAAAGGGGTAAATAATCTAAATATACTTTTTCCAGTTTCTTCCATGAATATCTTTTGAATGGAATTATATTTTTAAAATGTCAAAAGTGGGTGGGGAGGAGGGGATGAAGTAGGAAAACTTCTATTATAACTGCATGGCTCCACTACATTTGAAAGTATAATCCAGAGCATATTATCACTGCTATTTAGTGCACGCATCTGTTGAGGACTCAAAAATGACAAAACGCGTGTTAAGGCTAACTCTACCTTTTCATATTTATCCTGTAATATTCTGTTCAAGTACATAAAAGGCAGAATTTGCATCATGATGTCATGGAACGTATTTTGCATAAGGCCCCCTGCAGATACCTTGTGCTATTTACTTTGCAGTGATGTGCTGTTTTATATGAAATTACTTTCTAAAAATGTAGTACAACCTTACATCTTAATCATGCCTGCTCAGAAAAGAAGCTGTTTATAGAAATGTATAAATCATGTCAGAGATTACAAAACATTTCAATGGTATTGCAAATATAATTATGTCCTGCATGATAAAGCATTCAATAAATATAAAAGGCTAATTAAATAATAAACTAAGTTGATAACTACACTGATTTTTTAAGAATATCCAAATCAGTATTTTTTTTTAAATTTACACGATAACTAGATAGCTTCAAGATAAGAATGTAATTACCTATTGAATTAAATACGTGCATTCTCATGCCAGCTGGTAGCTTTTTTTCGCTTAAATGGATATTCTCTATATTTTGGTCTGTGGTGTTAGTCAGCATCACCTGTACAGATATCATCTGATCACTATAAATGCACGGCTGTCTTGAGAAGTGATAATTGGCTGCTAATCCTTTTCCACTCATTCGGTGAAGGAGTTCATGAGATTTCATTGGCACGAAGAAGGGTGAAGTGACCTGTTATACGTGAAAAACAATTTTGTGATTACAGACTACTAAATAATTGTGAACAATCAAATATAAACATTCATTCATTTTTCACAATGTTGAATTGCTCATCTCCTTCAGAGAGGGACTCCAGGCGGGATGTAATAAAATGTTGGAATGTAAAAACAGTATACAAAAACTTAAAATTTTTAAAGGAGGTAAAGATAATTGCAAACTGTTAAAAATTACTTAAAAGGCAAAGGGAGGGCTCTCAGGGCACCAGCCAACTCCATGGCTATATATTCCACTGCATTTAGCAATAGCAATAGCAGTTAGACTTATATACCGCTTCATAGGGCTTTCAGCCCTCTCTAAGCGGTTTA